CTGGGCGTTGCAGAATGAGGACTGGCCAGGCCTGCCCTGAGGGACATCGAGTGCAGGGCTTGCTGCAGAGGTCCTGAGTGGCACAGAATGACTCTGCTACAGCTGGGCTCTGTACCAGGGACACTGCATTTCTCTCGGATGGCAAAGGAGAGAAAAAGAGGAAGGGACGATTGAAACACACTCAGAAACACAACGGTTAGACAAACCCTGGGCTACAGTGTCTTGTTTCTGAACTGCACTCTTGTGTTGCCAAAGTGGATGCCCATGCATGCATGTGCGTGCGTGTGTGCGCGTCCAAGGCCAGACCCAGTCCCTGTGCATCAGGCAGTCAGCCATAAGCTCAGGGACCTGCCTAGCCTGCCTGACCCTCTCCAGAGCGCGGCTCTTCATCCCCCTGCTTCCCTTGGCTAAAGAGCAAAGCCATGCCCAGGTCCTGCCCTGCCCACCGTGACTGCACCCAGCATGCCTGGTGCAAGCAAGAGGGCGACGCACAAGGGGCAGCTCTGAAAGCTGCCTGCGGGGAGCGGGCTAGAGGTGGTGCTGCTACTGCATCTCAGGCCGGCTGCTACCTCCAGACAGACATGTGCTTCCCTCTGGCCTTGCAGGTGGGGAATCTATGGTACCCCAGTCTCCAAACCTCCTGGAGCCAAGAGTCATCTCAGAGTGGGCTTACCAGGGAGCCTAAACTGCATTTACTCACTATGCAATTGGCAGAGTCTGGCCTTTCCGTCACATTCCTCACTAGGAGTTGGTGCACAGACACCACACAGCTTGGTTTGTACCCCAACCCTGTCCTTATTATAGACTAGAACCTAGAGCCCAGATCCTTCCTGCATGAGCACAGCTCCTCCAAACTGAGGGCTCTGTGACCCCTGCAGGCCCGCCCGAGCCGCGAGCCCCAGTCTCTAGGGGACTTCATCCTGCCTGCATTGCTGAGACAGGAAGTGAAGCAATACAAAAGGCTGCGCTTTGGATTTTGCTTCTTCTTTCTTAGTATTACTGGTCGCTCACTGCTTTCTGGCCCATTCACATATATGTTATTTTGCTCTTTGAATTTTGAGTTTCTTATTCAAGAGAAGCCTGCAATATTATTTAAGCTTGTGCATCCGATTATTTCACTTAATGTTATGGTCTGAGATGCATTTGTTTGCCTACAAATGACTCAAGTTTGTCCTTCTTTATGGCAGAGTAGTACTCCACTGTGTACAGGCATCACGTTTTCTTGCCACTTTCTGAAGCAGTTCTGGAAGCCCTTGCTCATGTCTTTAATCGCGCTGCTGCAGCTGGCCGGGTGTCCTAAACGGACTCAAAGTGTTGACCTTTCGTGGTCATTTTGACTTTGGGGAAAGAGCTGAAGTTAATGGTGCCAGATCTAGTGAATGAGGGGAAGCTGCCCTGTCCTGCTTTTATTTGACAGAAATTGCTGCAAACATTTCTTAATACATTCAGGACACTGACAGAGCCAGGAGAGCACAACCAAAGGCACTCAGGAAAGGACTCCAGCTTTGCTTCAGAAGGCGGCAGGGCGGGGCGGGTGTGTCTGAGTGACGGGGGACTTTGCTTGCCTTCTGGCAGTGCGTCCCCTGCATGTGGCTCATGCCCACACTGAGGCCTGCGCCCCTGGGCAGCAGGCCCGCTGAGCCACCAGCCTGCTTACTGCTCTCAGTAACTCCTTAGGCTCTGCCCGATGCCGACTGGTCCTCTGCGGCTTCTGCTCGCTTTTTGCCTCAGCCTTGCTGCTGTTTCAGCCAGGGACCCTGAGCACTTTCCACCTTGGTTTGCATCCTTGTCGCCTTCTTCACCAGCTTGGATAGAGAACTTAATCTCCCTGTGGCTCCATTTCCCCTTGAAAAGAGGTAACTTTTGTCCAGGGCCCTGGAGAGGCCTGCTGTTCTTGCTGCAGGTTTGCTTTCTGTGCTCTCATGGACTTGGGCAGAAGACAGGCCACTCTCCACTGGCAGCGCAGTGGGCAGCAGCAGCAGCAGCAGCAGCTAGCGGATAACCACGTTAGGGCCTATTGATGCGGCCAAGGGCTGCACACCGGCGGGGCGCACCGCGGTGACCAGGCTCTGCACAGGACTCAGACTTGCTGGATGGCTGTGAGCAAATCCGCCTGCACTCTCCCCAGCAGGAAACACTATTCATAGTAATGGACAGTAAAAGGTCGCCCTCTTCTAGAGGAGAGATAATCTCTGTCTGTAGAGGTGGTTTGCCCTACTGACACCTTTTAAATACAGCTCAGAAGAAATCTGCCAGTGCCTTTGCCCATAAAATGTGTACAAGTCTGGGAGACCCCAGGGCAGTTCCTCCGTGCTGCCCACTGAGAGTGCGAAACGAGCTCCTCCCTGGAAGGGCCAGAGAGTGCACTGCGTGGCCCTCAGGTGGCAGCCTGGCGTCGCTGTGCAGCCTCCCCCACCCACTCCTTCAGGTCAGCGGCTTGAGTTGCTGCGCCTCACTGTCACCGTGCCTGAATGTGTGCTCCCTGCCCCCCGCCCCCCGCTGGCCGTGCCTGCTGGCTCAGTCCTGGCCTGCGGGCGGGCGTAGGTGCTCGTGCGCCTGCTGTCCCACTTGTTCCCGGATGACTCTTAGCAGCTGCACACGGAGATGCTTTCACAGCATCTCAGATGTCCCTGGAATGTGGACTCTGGGGCTTGGAGAAACACGAAGCGACAGAAGGCGCTTTGGTAGTCTAAAGACAGGAAGACTTATTGGGAGGTGCCTGGGCTGCCTCACGGACTCACAGCTGGAGCTGGGCAGTGAGGAGCTGGGGACTCAGCGCCAGTGACCCCCACAGCAGGGCTCTGCAGGCCCAGTTCCCACGTGGGTCTTTGACAGACGCTACAGACCAGATGAACAATCTGAATCCCACTGCGTTAGGTGATCCCCTGATGACTCGATCACGGTCTGAGGATGCAGCTGCACAGGACAGATGACCTGTGAGTGACTCTTCTGAGTGCAGGGTGTCACAATGAGCTTGTCACCCCAGAACTGCCTAGCCCTGGGAGCTCACCCCACACTACTGTATTCACGGCTCCAGACTCACTTCCTCCATGCTGCTGTAGTTCTACGTTCCCATCGGACTGTTCTAGTAAGTTCTCTCAGCTTTAGAATTGTCCTTCTGTGCTTCGCTATGTGGCCCTGGGGCTGGGATCCTGCTCCCCACCTTCCTCCACAGCTACCTGTGCAGGCTGTGTCTATGGGCACACCAGAAGAGCCCCGCTGGTGGAGAAGGGGAGTGCCTTGGCCCTTCCTGTCTGCTTCCTGTCAGCTTCCTGTCTGCTTCCCATCAGCTTCCTGTCAGCTTCCT